AGGGAAAGACTTCAACCTGTAATTCTTAATGATACTCAGACGGTACTGCTAATGGAAACTCAAAAAGCAAACCAAAACAACAACGACGACGACAAAAAGAAAAAGAAAAAATTCAAACCAAGAATGTTTTTATACATATATATCCCCAGCATATATATAAAATATATATGTAAATAAAAATCAAAACAGCAGCGTTTTTATTCCTACTATCCCCTATATAGTGTATCCTAAACTTAGTCAACATGTATAGTACAAATTTTAAGATTTCAAACAAAACTTTCTGATTCAGCCGCTATCTCAACTGTTATTAATTAAGGGCTTAAAATCATTAGAACACCACCCAAAATAACAGAAAAAAAGAGAGTTAACTGATTTTTCAGCTAAGCTCTCTTGAGAAATCAAACAGAGGAGAAAAGTTTAAACACAGAACTTTAAACAGAGGAGAAAGCTGCTTGACCTTATGTGACGCAGTGGCAGTCACTCTTAAGTGCTACAGCATCCCAGTGTTCCTACAATTACAGGCTTCTACAAACAAACAGTTCCAAGTCATATGCATTTTACCTACACACATGAAGCAGACTGTCCTTAACTAGTTTCACCAACCGAATACACACTACAAACAAGTAGGTGACAGTGCTGTTATCAGGCATTTACTGAGTATGCATGTTGTGCCAGGGGAATACATTTCTATTTCTTGTGTTCCATAAAAATAAGCCATTAAGCCAGTCCTGAATACTTCAGTAAGTTGTCTCTCTTGCCAAATGGCCTACAGACAAAAACAGTAGTTTCTGCATCAGTTTAAATATGCTAATACCAATTTGCACCTATTAGTTGCTATGTTTGCAAAAAGTCACCCAGTGTAACATCAATATTGTACTTTGTAAAATAATCTGTGATTAATTTGTTCCCTAGCAATTGTCTCTACACAACGCATATTCCATTAATGGCGCCCCAGAAAACATAGAAGTATTTCCTCCTGTTGCTGCTCCCAAGTCTAGCTAAAATATGAAGTACTTCTGAAGAAGTTGTACATGGATAATTCAACTGTTAATCCAGCCTTGTTGCAAGGCTGTAAAAAGAAATTCCAATTAAGTCAAACACATATCTTGATCTCCAACAGGAAAGGAGAATTATAAATGCACAATGCATATAGATTGGGAAGGGAAGAAAGGACAGAGCATGACATCTAAAAGAGGGCTGCAACCAAGAAAGCAAACTGTCTCTGGGATTTCCTTGGTACCCAACTTTTAGGAGTGCTGCAATATAATGATGTTATCAATCAGCAGAAAAGGCAATTATTCAGCCCTTCCAGAATTCAGGTCATTATCTCTGTGCTTCCACTTCCATAACTGTAAAATCAGAACTAACATTCAACTATTTCAGTGGCTGGACCTGGCTTCACACATACCTTAACTGAAGTGACTGGACCTGTAGATACCTTCTTCATGTTGTCTTCTCCCTAATTGTCCCTATTATATATGTGACAAACTACTGCTTTTATGTATAAGCTACATACATGCAAGTGCTCCATAATCATTAAATTATAATCTCAAGAATCCTTTGAGGGTGATGAATTCTATAAAAGAATCACTTTTGTAGTTACAATCGCTCTTGCATCAAAATGTTCTACCTACCCATGAACTGAAAGGAAGAGAAAAATCTAGATATAAACAGGCAGTATTTATTTTGAAGCAATTCCAATACTGGTATTGCCCCTATTTTAATAAACATACTACATGCGTTACAAGGAACAATGCACTGTTATGCACATGCAATTTTAAGACCTTTCCTGTCCTACCCAACAGCACTGTGTACCTTCCCAGTATATTTAGACATTGATTAAGCACAGGCTCCAGAGAAGGAATGCAACCAAACCTTCCAAGAACAGGCGCTTTGTTTCACATCATTTTCTCAGCATCCCCTTATTGAGTGTATAAAGCGGTATTGTTAACAAATCAAATTTGTTACAGGAAAAAACCCAATCTTTTTCTTTTACAGTCTCTCTCTCCTTAGTACTAATCAGTAATTTTTAGATGTTAGTGCTAAAAGAGACAAACCCCTGCAATTCTTCATTTCAGCTGCCAAACTCTTCTTCAAGAAGCAGAAATAGTAAATTGTATGGTAACATTTTGTATTGATTAGGTATTCACTACCTGGCAAACCAGTTTCAAATCCTCAGTTTCTTGAGAAGGGGCAGAAAATCATTGAAAAGTTACATCTGTACTGAGGCTCTCCCACCCCCCCCATAACTACTGTAGCTCTGAACTATCTGCATATGATTGAAGTGATTTGCTGCTGCCTTGCTTAAAACCAGCAAGATTTTAGCAGAGCCTGCTCTGCTATTCAAATGTTTGCTGCATCAGTACCATGTCTATGTGCGCACCTCAAAGGATCAAATCAAATTCAAAGCACCTGCCATCCCACTAGAAAAAAAGCAACCAACTGTATTTCAGAATTCTAAGGAAAATACTTACAGTGTGTTAGTGAAAAAAGTTTGTTAAAGCAAGAGACACAGATGCCAATTGAGCTATGAAGCATTTTTTGATTGCTGTGATTAATATTTTTAATAATTGCCTATGATATTTCTTCAGCAAGACTGCGCCTCCTACTTTCAACTAGTTTAAAAGCATTTGACAGAAACCTTGGGAATAAGTCAGTTAACATCACTATTATCAAGCAGTATTAGTAAGATTTGTATGTTTATTTTAAGAGTATAATAATTGGCTTAATTTTTTAAATGTAATTCTGGTTTTAGAAAGAAACAACCACGCTTTATTTTTGCATGAAGAAAAGTCAGTAAACTCTATAAATACATGTCCTGTTAGTTCAGCTTTCCTCCTGACATGACAGACACTGCCTTTTATTGTACTTCTAATCAGTAGAAGTTAACACTTCTTTTGTCATCTTTGCTGTCTGTCCTCAAAATTCATAAATAATGGAAGCGAGAGAATTACAGCTCTGACCAGAGACTGTGAAGGTTTGCTGCTCTGGAACATTATAGGTATTGTTTTTAATGATGAAAGAGATGACTTAATAAGGTTTGAAGGAGTGAAGTTACAGTATGTTCCCATTTCATGCAATAACTGTGTATGGCTCCTTCTGGCGAGCGCTTCTGAATCTCTGTGCTCTGCCCTGGGCACATGTACCAACAGCCTTTGCCAAGCAGGTGTCTTCTCATAAATGCACCTTACATGTGAGTGTCTGCAGTTTAGAAAGCTTTCTACAACATGGTACATCATGTGGCTATATATACAGATATATGGGCAGATATAAGGGCAGATACCTTCAAATGAGGAGGCCACGCTTAAGCTTTTTAAAAAAGGTTTTCTGATGGAAAAATCATTATACTTTTCATCAGAAAATTCCTGCAAGTTTTTTCTGTTGCCTATATTCCTACAATATGTCAATAATAGATGACATTACAGATGTCCACAGTTAAGTTCTGCCGAAAGTCAGTAATTAGAGCCGTATCTGATTAATTATCAGAAGCACAATGGAGTGCTGAGCAGTGCAGTCTGATTCATGAGCTGTCACAGTAAACTGGAGGACAAGACACTGATACGTGCACGCTACAAGGCAGACTCACCCTTGAGGTAAAATTTCTGCAAAGAGCAGAAATAAACTGAATCCTAGCACAGGATGAAAGTGTTATCTCCTCCTGTGAGGGTGAATCTAGACTAATTTAGATGAACTTTAGATTTGAACAAGCTCAAAGCTGCCCACATCCACTCTTTTACTGGGCCACATCATTACCTCCTATAAATTCCTGTAGCTGCACTGAGCCCAGCTGAGTTACACCAGGTGACATTAAGGATGTTATGGTTGCAAGACACATTTTCAAAGTCAGAAAATAAAATGTACATTTTAGTAGGTGACCCAAATCATAGCAAACCACAGTACACAAATGCCCCTTAATAATATGACCGGATATCAGATTTTCTCACGCTGTTACTAATGGGAGTCACTGCCATAACAAAAGTTACTCCACACAGTAAGTTCCCAGCATGTGCTGTCGCTGAAATCAATCCTCCACAACAGTGACAAATATTTACCTGTATATCCCCACCTTCCTTCCACTTTAATAATGAACATAACATAAATATCTGTGTGAGAGAAAAAATGAAAAATGTATAATCTAGGGTGATATTTTATTTGGTCATCAGAAAGTTACTCACCCCAGCCAAGAAGAATTTTACAAGGTGCACATAAATACTACACATAGCCTAATATGACACTCTAATCCTCTAAAATGGCTTTTTCAGGGCCACATGATGGATCATATTATTGTTAAATTCCAGTGACTCAGGTGCATTTCATTTCTTTGACTTTCATTGGAAAGCCATTAACAAAGTGTGTGATAGGATACATGGTTTTCTATCAGATTCAGCATATCAGAAGTATGAAGTTGCCCCTTCCAATGCCCACACCAGACTTCTAGTCAGAAAATGCAAGTCCCATTGCAGTTTCTAAATCAGCTTCAAAGAAATCCCCAAACCTAATCACCTCCAAGCTCATTACAGTCTTCACTAGAGCAGCAGCTTATAAAAATCATCCGGGCTTTTTTACATGTATCTGTGAAAATGGCCCGAAGCACAACAAATATTGTCTTTAGTAACGCATAGGCTTCTTTTGCTTAAGATAGAAGATCAGCTTGATTTTGGGGTACTCGCCATTTTTTCTTCAGCTTTGTCCAGGCAGCAATTTTCCCAGCAAATAGTAGTGACCAAAAAGCTATACACGGACAAATAACCTCACAGAAAACTGCAATATGTCTGTGGCCCAAATTCCAAGTGCCTGGGCAGCTAACAGAGAAAGCAGCCTCAGCAGAATTGTCTCTTCCTCTCCTGAGATTAGAATCCTTCAAATCACAGTATGATACTTCATTCTTGCAATTTCTTTATTCCAGGCTCAGTGGGGAAATTCCCTTTCACAGAAGAGCCAACAAGACCTCTTCATCAGTTACACCTCTGAAATGAATTTAAACATGATTTACACTTATTCTGTCCTTTTAATGATTTTTTTTCTTCCAAATAAAAACTAGTTCTCTGTTTTTAATTTCCATTCCCAACCATTTCTACTCCATTGCTAAAAAGAAACTATGGTTGAAAGGCACTAAACAAGAAAATTCACCATAAAAAGTGCACATGGACAAAGCATGGAAAATATAAATAATAAAACAAACAGACGACTCATACAGTCTGAAATACAGGCTAAAATTGAATCTCCAGTTAATAATGAACATGGTATCACCTTAAATGATTTTCAAGCACAAAAAAATTTGAGCAGAATAATTCCTTAGCACAACCTTAAAAAAATGGTATTCTCAACACACACAAAACAGTGCCAGTGAATTCAAGTCAACTACAAAGTAATTTTTTAAGTCTGTGAGTTGTTGCAGGTTTATAACCAGAATTACACAGTGAGACACAAAAGTGTCCAGTCCCCAGAGTCTAGCCGATAAGATGTCCACAGAGATACTCCCGTGACAGTATTCTGTAGGATATATTTTTCTTAATATTCTTAATCTGGACCCTCATCCTGCAAAATAATCGTGCTTACAGGATGCCTGTTGCCTGAACAGCAATATGGAATTCAACAACTCAGCGACATGGAATTCAAAAAACACTGTTCATATACATCAACAGTAAACTCGCATATTGTTAACCTGCATATATATGTGCATTTACTAAATATTTTGAAGTTGTCAGATTTATTTGTTGTCTTTAAACAGTAAAAATGTAAAGACAGCATAATGCTCTTACGTTCTTTCCCTGTATTCTCTGGGAAAATCATGGATACTCCCCATTTTGTAAAAAGGGCACTTCATTCTAACTGCCCATAAAACATTCAGCAACGCTTAGACACAGAGCTCTGTAGCAGTTCCATCTATTTACATAATCACTTGACAAAGCCAATGACACTACACTAACCCAGAACTACGCAGAAAAAAAGTTTAAAAAGACCAGCTTGGCAAACTACACACATTCAGTGCTTGCTGGGTCATGCAGGCTCTCAGCATGCATTACACAGCAGCAGTCCCTGCACCTTTTTGGAGCATTTCAACAAGGTCAAGAGAATCCAATCAGCTCCAGGCATCTTCTTGTACTCACTGCAGTATGATCTTTGTAATTACTTATCCAATAATCCCTAGTGATCTCGCAGCATCTAACACTCAACTCTTTTCATATTCCTTGTGCCCTTATCACACTAATGAGTAAGCTTTTTGTTCTTCTACAGTTGTATAAACTATTCTAAGTAACCAACAGTCGTCCTTCTATTTGCATGTACGAGTCCATCATCCACAAAGAACAATATATTGCTTTCTAGGAAAAGAGGATACATGCAGAACTGCAACCTAGGATGGCTATTTTTAAGCAAACAAACTGCTGATTTAGTGAAAGCACTGACTTGTCTGTCAAAACAAACTCTTACTAAAACTTCAAGAGTTCCGTTTGAGAAGCCGTTCAGAGTGATTTTTCTTCTATCAACGTCTTCTGCAATTTTCTTACAATTAGCAAAATATATTTAGCAGAACCGAAGGCAAATCTAGTAACAGAAATACAACTTGCACACAAATGGTAGATATTTAAGTGGTAAAGAAAGCATCTTCAATCACTACAATCTTTTCTCATAAAGCTGGCTTTAAAAAGTAGCAAACTAATGAAACCCCTAAAAGTACTACTGCAGAACACGCAGATGCAAAATAATCATATATAACAACGACAGGGTAATGTAGGATTTCCAGAACATCCAGCAAGACCAAAGTTAAAACATCAACATCCATAATCCCACTGCTTACTTTTCTGTTTAAAAAAAGGGATAACTATTTGCTATCTACTGTGTTAGGAGCAACTAACTCCTGACACTGTTTGTGTAGTTAGGAAAGAACATCTCACTGGCTCTACAGTTATATGGAAGAGGTCTTCTAGCAAAGTAAAGAATTAAAATAAAATGAAAAATGTGACTAAGGCAGCTATCATTCTGTGCTTCAAGGTTTTCCTGATCACCTCCAGGAAGCAAGCAGGAATTCTGCTGCAATACATAGAACTTCTCAGTTTGTTAAGTGCATGGTAGGTTTTCTCATTTTCCTCTGAAACTTAATCTATTAGTTACTGCCAGAGGCAACAAACTCAACAGTCGAGGTTAATAATGAATATATAAAGCTGCTGTTTGAAACAACATGCCCTCCTGCACCAATTCAGTAGCATCCCGGTGTCCTTAAATGTAGCATACTTGACAGTGAGAACGCTATTTGCAATTAAATTTTTAAGCCATCAAAATGAAAACCATTACGTGCAGTTCTTACACTAATGTATGAATTTGCCTACTAACACTGAGGATTTTGCATAGCAATGAGGCAGTTTAAGTAAATGGCTCCTAGGCTCAAGAGTTCACATTGCTTGTTGTCCTTATATTTTAATTAAATGATCAATTTAGAATTTCTATTTGCTTCATCTTGTACAACCAAAGAATTCAAGGAAATTATACAAACATGTATGTGCCCTGCCTATTGTCCAAAATGTTTTGCGTGCTCTTTAAGAATACCTCACCTGTACGGGGATTTCTATCTATCCAAAGAAAAAGAAGTGAGATTCTGAAACAACTACAATGAAATTAGGTACCTAATTACCACTGCAATCACACTGCAACTATCACCCTAAATGTTTGGAAGTTCTTAGAATAATTGAAATAAACATTAATAACCTTACAGGTATACCATCTTCAAAACTTTGACTGCACCTCCTCTGTTTTTTGGTGGCAGCCAAAAAACTAACAAAAAGCTGGGCGCTGTGGGGAAACGTACTGAGCCCATCACACAGGGTATTGTTTTAGCACTACATAAAACCTGGATGGGCCCACATCTTGACTATTATGAGCAGTTCTGGTCTCAGCTCAAGACGGGCGGTTCAAATGGTCAAGTGAATGGAGCTACCACTATTCAAGAGAGGCAAAAAAATGTCTGGGACTGGTTTGGGGAGGAGGAGCTTGGGGGAGGCTACAATTGAGTTTTACAAAACGATGAAGGCACTAGATAAATTGAATGCAAAACCTCTCTGCAATATTAGGTCTAGGGGGCAGCCAGTGAAAGCAACAAACATTTTACAACAGGTGCGAGTGTACACTGCAGAGGATACACGCATGTATGGTGTCCCTCATGAAGCAGCTGCGACTGGTGGCAGGGAACACAAGGGGAAGCAAGCGGCCAGGTTAGTTTCCCTAAATTGCATCTCCTCTCTCCATTGCCCGAGACAGACCGCTGGGCTAGACAGGCCGTTAGTCCGACACAGTACGACATTTCTTATGTTTTTGAAGATCTCCATTACGCTTTGTAAGCCTAATGGCTAATTTCTGAGTTTCTTCTTGTTACTGTTAAGAAAAATACACAATGCTTGGTGAGCAAAGGGGCTTCTACAGCATTTTTGAGTGGTGCATTGCACTAAGCCAACAATATAGTTGGAAAAAACGCAGTTGTGAAGTTGGCTCTTGAGATTCAGGCAGCCCTCCTTCAGGGCAAAAGCACCCTGCTATGGACTGGGCAGACAGCTGGGGTGAACAGCTTCACCCAGCCACCTTAATCTGCTATGCCACATGCAGCAGCAGCTACTCACACATTTTATGAATTAAGGCCTTCAAAATCATCACTGCAATGAAATCCGATTTGTCTCATTATTTTAAAAGGCAGAACCTCAAGTAGCTCAAATTCCCCTTTGACAGGACTGTCACCTACTGTGTGTCCTCAGTGCCCCCCTCGGACACCTCTGGGCTTCTCTAAGGTCTTTTAGATCATCCCAACACTAATTAGCTAATCATAGCTATGCTAAATTCTAAAATTTGCATTTCTGAAGTTAAAGGCATGAAGCTAATTTATTGCTAGAATCATTCAACGTAACTAGACTTAAGTAGCAGATAATAGTGCCTGAAAAATGAACCACTGGCACATTTTGTATTGCTACAAAGCTTAAAGAAACAAACATCAGGGATCATTTACAAAAGCAAACAACAGCTGTTGCACAAGGGGGGGAAACAACCTCTTAAACTGAAGTAGAAGAGAAAGATGAGTAAGTTACACACTGAAAACCGGACAGATTAAGAAAAAAAAGAAGTAGCCCTGTATCCTCTTGTCTTTTTAACTCTCACTGGCACTTGAGTAGGTGTTCGGGGGGGGGGAAGCTTTAACTTGCTATTTTAAATACATATGTATATATGGTCCTGGATATACGTTTATCATGTGTTTGCCGTGGAGAGTACGACAGACTTCAGCCCCCGAATTTGAAGGCCTACACCATTTTTCACAGCGCCGCCGGGACAAACCCCAGCACCCCCTTTTCCAGCCCCGCAGCTCTGCGCCCTTCCGCCCGCCCAAGCCCGCGCCGTCACCCGAGCGCGCCCAGCGAACGCCCGT